AACAATACTTTTCCGGTACTTCCAATAGAAACTCCCTGACAAAGAAATTATCGACACCAAATGCATGATCGTTACTTAAAGTGAGCCACCCCATGTGGCGTAATTTCAACAATCTGGTGACCTTGGATTCCTACGCCTAGGGGTTCATATTGAAATTAAATTTAGATCATTACAAACGTGTTAATTAATTATGTTGGCTTTGAAATCAGGGCAAATAGTAATGAAAAAAAACATGACCTCATCTGATTAATTTGTCCTGAATCTCGTTACAATATGTTAAATTTGTCATTGGCACGTGACTGAACTGGGATATTTCCACTCTGGATGGATTTGATAGGCTGATGCCCATTCTTTATCCCTACATAGAATGCCTCTTAATAGTCTCTAAAACTCTAGGCGAAAATTCCATCTTCATATTGTAATTAAATTAAGTCTAATCTCATCATCTGAAGCGTCACTTAAATTCTACCCAATATCTTGAAGCAGCTTTCCAAAATTTATTATTATGAAGTGTCATTATGTTTCTGTAGCGGATTGCTACGCTAGTAAAACTTGACTGACTCAGAAATCTCTATGGGAGATTCTCCTACATCTAGCTAGACTCCCAGAACCAGCTAAGCTATAGCCCAGCCCGTGTAGCACGGAGCACGTTTATTCAGTACGAGTATTACGGATGGCTGATTAGGTTAAACAAACAGAGGTTAATGATTGGTCACTGTTTGTACGGTCCCTGCGGGGTGTGCGATAGACTTACCTCCACGTGGTGTACCCTGGGCAACGTATACTCATACGGCAAAAAAGTCTATTATTCGGCAGTTGACTTCTGACTTCAAACTACCAAGACCCCACTGCATTTCATATTCGAATAATTTCACAGTACTCACCTCACCTTTTTCTACCTTTGTGTCTGTCTGTCTCTTTTACGTCTATGAATCATTATTCTGTCCCCCTCTCGACGTTTTGCCACTTTACTGTTTATCTTCCTTTCTGTGAAGCCTGAAGTCAACTAAAGGGTTAATGATACCTATCATAACGCCTGCCATTTGAAATAAATAAATGTACGGTCCCTGCACACAGAGTTGCACGGCCGCACCTCCCAATCCTGGCATGCAGGCATACGATGACGCACACAGCGATAACGTGTCCCACACTTCTCAAGGATAAACAATACCACTTTTACAATGCCTCTTATAATAACACATCCATACTCTTAGGCTTTATTAACTCTCATAGCACTAATTGTCAAGACCAACTTTTATCCAACGCAGTAAAATGAGTTGCCAGGCTTTTTGATTGTCTTATGAAGACAAGATCATTATAAGTATGCTTTCTCTAATATGGTGGTTCTCATTTTTGAAATTATATTATCTGGAAAACGAGAAATAAAAGGGGCATATTGTTAAGAGCTATGCGATAATTCATGTGAAGCGACCGTTTTCATGTCCTATACTAACGCCATTCGAGGTCCATTTCATCACCCAGGTCAGAAACGCTTCACAAAATCTTTCAGAAATGGACAAATAGCCAACTAATAATTCGGTTACCTAACCTCATTTTCACCCACTTTTTGACATGATAGGGGAAATTTAGGGCATTGAAATTGAGTTTCATGAGGATTCGTAACAGATAATGGACAAACAATGATGCAACAGACATTTCTGAATGACAATTAAGTCGATTTTCGTACACTAACCTGCTAATTTAATTATATTATTTAAATCGCATTATCGGTTAGGGAAAATTAAATTGGTGAAGAAATGAAAATTCGATTTTATTTGAAAGAATGTTGAATTTTCCAAATTAAGCCCCATAAAAGGTTATTGTAAGGATACCCTATCTAACAAGCCCATTCTGACGCCTCTCAAGCTTTCAAAAGTGTCTCCCAATTTTTAATGACGAATTTCATATTTGACCATGAAATGCCTTATATCAAATAATACAACTCGTGATATGGATAGAATTAAGCCAAATTCGCGTTTTTTCCGCTTCCGAGCAAATTGAATTGTTTCCGAAACTCCATGTGAATGTCGACCTTCTTTTGCCCAATTCTCAAGTTAGCAGTTTGGTGGATGAGCTCCACCTGCATGCAAAAAACCAAGCTAGATCAAATTGAGGGCTGATACGAAGCCTCCACACAAAGCTGTCACGCCGAACAAAGGAATCTCATGCGCACTCAGACCGACTCGAAGGTGCGCCGTGATGCTTCAAGTAAGGAGTAAGTGCGGTTGTGAGCATGGTAACCACACACCAACAGTTAATCAGTAGTTTTCTTTTGGTTTATCAAACCTTCCATTGTAGCAAAGTGATCAAGCCCCCCTATCTGTGACACATCCCAAATAAACGTGTTCACGTCATACGTCTGTTTCCTCTATCGCGTTGCGGTAGCTTAGTTCATGCTGGGAACCGCTCCAAATTGGGGGATCTTGCTATGGAGATTATTGAGCACAAGTCTGGGCTTATTAGTACAGCGATCCTCTACAGAGGAAATTCTTTCAATTTTCCTTCTCCTGTCCCAATGAAACCTTAACTTCTTTTCCGAAAATACATGTAAATACTACAAGCAATTCTTAAATAACAGAAATGTAATAATAGCAGGCACTAGGGCCAAATGACGGTTTCTGACAAAAGGATTCAAGGTGCACGCAGTATTTTTTACCGTAGTTTAATATCTAGCTTTACGGATAGGCTGAAACGGTTGTCATTTAAAGAAATCGATAACTTGCGGAATCAGGAGTAGCAATAATTGCCGTGGAACCATGCCTTTTGCACCCTTGCAGACAAAATGGCCCTTTCAATCACAGGCATGGTAAGAAGTCTGATAATGATGGAGGTGCCTTAGAAAGATGAAACAGATCAGTGACTTTCATTATTTTATGCTGATGATTAGCCTGGTGTAGCACTCTTAAAACATACCTATGATCTTGTTAACGACTGGTAGTAATGAAGTTACTCTCATTGACGTCTCATGAACATAATACAGTAAGTAATACTATTTTTCTGCCTGTTAAAAACCAGATGGTACACGATATAGCCTTCATCATTACCAGCAACTTTACGAAGCGCGACTCAAAGTTTCAATACGAAAGGAAAGTAAGTCTGGCTACTTTTTAGACTTCTGTTGCACAAAATGAAGCAACGAGAGTAGAAAGCTGTTAGTTTCCCCAAAAACGAAGTTGAATAATCAAAACTAAATTTTATTCAACAAGTAAAAAATAGTTTCTATTTGTATTTGACCCTAATTAAGTGATAGGGCTTAAAAATAAATGTAGATACAGCGTGACAAAAAGCGTATCTGCAGAAGAATTCATCTGAACGGAGAGAGAGAGAGCATGTCAGGTAAATCAAGTCGCGAAGATTTTCAGCTTTAAAGGCCCCAACTACCTTTTATTCTGCTGTTGGCGATGCTTTCGCATACATTCAGGGGAGCAGAAGACGAAGTTTAGGTAGGAGAATGGCTCTATTGCCGTCATATCCGCAGAACATTTATTGCAGGTTCTGTGAATAGGACACAAGTATCATAGATTCTGAGCTACTGAAAAAGAATAAGTAGAATCTACTTCAAGACAGCTTACATCTGTGGCTTTTCCTTGAATTGACTTTGCGAGGCACGTTTCTCGGCAGCTGCAGCACACTAAAATAAATCAATGAAAAGTTAATTGCATATCCATAGACTTCACTTGTGACCCCGATGTCTTCTTCTGTATTCATGCTTAGAATGAGACTAAATTAAACGATAAATGAACGCTAACAGAGTCAACACATGTACAATTTACTCAAAACGCGGTGACTGGGTTCTTAATGGTTACATAATAAGATGAAAAAAGGAAGTTAAATCAGTAAATTATTCCGACTTTACAATATCACTACTTCAATCCTCCAAAATTTCACTTCGAGTTGATGTTCAAAAAAACATATTTAATAGACCTTGATTATTTCATTAAGGGACGATTGTCTCAACTAGTACCCCTGAAAATTGGAACTAAATGTTTATCAATATGAAATCAGACACTACTATAAAAGTATTCAAGTATTTGTTGACCTTTTCTCTCATCGATGACTTGTCGCTTTTTCGAGTGATCACTTCGTTAGTCAGTGCGGTGGGTTGATTCCGCCTTTTCACACTTCCTCCAGGGTTCCCGGGAGATTGGAGCGGTGGAAGCTAAACGCCAAGGGAGGGGGGGGGGTCAAATACAAGGGCCATTAGCATTTAATAATTAAAACAAAAATAGATAGCCAAAGATCTATAAAGAGACGTACACCAGCCTTTGCATAGTCATATCGATCAGGATATTCAGTACGAAGATGTCTGAGATGAGAAGTCAGCTTTCTTTTGCCAATCTTATCCGCGAGTTGATAAGCCGTCATGCCGTTCGCATCTCTACAATAAGGGAAGTAAGCTACAAAGGCGTTCAAAAACTTAAGCAATACATAAATTAAAGTCTTCTGAGAGAAGTTGTCCAAAACTAACCTTAGACAAATAATTAAATTTCGAGAGTATTGAAGAGAGTTTATTGTGTAGAGCATAAAGACTTATGTTGGCAACGTGATTTCCTCATATATACAACGCTTTTCACATTAATTAGTAAGGTTGTCTATTCATAACACCACATATAGAGTAATAGAAACCCGACACATAATTTTTGAACTGATTAGTTGCATATGATAAACACTAGACCATTGAAGTACAAGTTAAAACGGTTTGCTTCAAAAGATCGAATGCGATAAATAGGAAGAACAAATGAAATGAGAATCCGCTCACTTGACTTCAAGTCTGCAGCCGGCATTCAAAAGGATGTCCAGAATATCAGGATCATCGCTAAGTTCAACAGCAGTATGAAGGAGACCTTTCCCAAACCACACTTGAACGGAGTTCAGAATAGAATGTAAGGTTTCTTGATCACGTGGAAACTCGATTCCACGGGCAGCTGGAAAGGAGGAGAGTGGAAAAATAGCCAGGTTTTATTTGACTATCTTACTGGAGTCGCAAGTTGTATTAACTGATAATTGAGGCTAGGCGTATTGATTAGTCAGCCGATGAACGAACTGATTCTAAGATATTTGTGAATCGAACTAAAGTCCCTTTGTTAGGGTGCTTGAAAAGTGATCCCTAAGTGGAAAAATAATTTTAAGGTGTATAAAGCTACCGAGACTGACCAAAGGAACATAGTGCACGACGAAAGCGCGGACATCCCAGCCAATTAGCAGTCACGTTGCAACATAGGGCAACGTTGGTTATATTTGGTGACCATGCGTGTTGAGACTCAACACAGTCATAGCAGCACCCACACGCGTTTGTCGCATATTTGCTAATACGCTCCCCCGCCCTCCCCCNTTTTGCTAATCCGCCCCCCCCCCCCCCCCCCCCCCCCACCCACTCACTCGTCTGATTCTACATGGTGGTTCATTCAATGCAACACATTTGTTCTACTTTTTAGAAAAGGTTTCTTGTTGCCGTTAGGTGATAATTTGTCTTAGCTGGTTCTAGTTCAGTAGTTCTTCCAATTTGGCAACTCGACACACTAATGGTCTTCGTTTCTATTCCCTAATAATCTGACGACCATATGAGCGCTTACCTCCTTTTTTCTGAGACGCGCTTAAACCACGACAACTGTAGAACACGACACTACATGCAGTACTGCACTTTCAACCTGAGCTGGTTTTAGCCAACTTGATTAGGCAGTAGCAATATGTTACCTACCAGAAAGAGTGGGATTTGGCACGGTTAACAATTGCTGCAAATCCTCTTCGTCTCTATTCGCGGTTGCCATCAAAATTTGTCGCATGTATTTATCATAGATTGAGTTTAGGGACACCTCTAAAAGAAACAACAATGTTAAATCGGATTTAGTATATGAGAAACGTTCAACAAAATATGCACAAGCTCAACAAACATCCACAAATCCCTCCTATATTACTCAGACATTTTCTTAGGGATTTTTCTAACCACTTACTACGAAGAGCAAGTATACTACTCGAACGAATTCAGCTTACTATCAGGAGAGCTCTGATTCAACTTAGAGGAGGAAGCTGTATTCATCCACTCATCAGCTCTTCGCGTGGAAGCATCATTCGAGTTATCGGAATCGAATTTTGAATCGGAAGTAGAGCCTGACTGATCGCCATCTTTCTCTCGTCTCTTCTGACGATTTTTTCGTTGTCGCCTCTTCTTTCGACTTGCTGAAGTCGATGGTGCTGTCATTGCACCCGCTGGTTGTTCAATGAAGGATGCTTGAGGAGGGTTCGAAGACTCAGAGGGCTCTTTGGGAATTTTCTGAGATGCTGAACTGGGGGTGTTCTTTAGGAGCTCTGGCAGTGTCCCATAGAAGAGACGTCCGGATTTCGACTCAAATACCATCGGCACACCCTCCTCCATTTGTCGTCGATCAGAGAGGGAAATCAAACTAAGATCGACGAAGGGCTCTAGAGGTGAACAAAAAGCATATAAATCTAATGATCTGCGCTATGTTAGATTAATGCAAGCCTGTACACTACATCAGGCTTCTTTGTTACTAAAATACAAAATGCACAAGTTGCAAATCGCAGCCTTTACTACTGAATAGCACGAAGACATCACCACCAAATCTATTAAAGTTGGCAAATTCGGCTTTACGCGTTTTTCTACTAACAGTCTTTAGGTGGGGTTTAACTGAGGGGAATAATACCGAGTTAAGAATCTATAAGGGGAATTATAAGAAAAAAACTGCACAGCCCATGTTTTCAAGAGGAAAATATCTTAAAATCGCACAAGTCACCAGCCCTTTGGTTGTTTTACACACTTGGAAAATGGTACATCTAAAAAAACTTTTAAATTTGATAGAATTAATAAATCAATCTCAGCTCTGTAGAAGTGGAGACTATACAAAGGCGATTTTTCCTATTGAATTTCTTTGAAACGAGTGTGAGGAAGCCATAGAACAAACCTCCAACAGAAAGCACCCTTCACGAGGAAGATTCAGCCGATGAAGCAATTTTAGCAAAAATTGCTTCTAGCCAAAAGTATAAGTGAAGTATGGCTCCTTGATAACATTTACTTTATTCTCAGCATCCTTGTGATACTCGCCGCTCTGTCACTGTTCAAGATGAGTAAAATCAGGTCCCAGTTACTTTACCACAGTAACAGCATATGATACATTGGTGTGGACTTGTAGTAGGATTAATAAGCGTCTCCAATGATAGAAACTAATTACAACAAAATTTCACCTCAGTAAATATCCGAACACAACTAAACAAATAAATCATAGAACTCACGCATGCACTTACGCATATCATAAAATGATTAATGAACACTAAATACATTAATGTGTGCTAACCGTAGACTCGGAACTTCGAGAATTCTGCTTGAAGTTCTTTGATATGCGCGTAGGAGATGCTTCTTGCGCCGCCAGAAAGACGTCTAAGACGAGGGTCACCCGCAACAAGACCCATTTTCACACCAACTGCCTCGACAGCCTGGGGATCAGGACCAGAAGCGAGAATTGGTTCCTTGTCGCCGCTCTCACCCCCAGAAGAGTGACCTTCATTTTCAATGATATTTGGCGACTCTGATGGTGCGCAGCAGGAAGGTGGTGTAGTGAATATGGAGTGGTTTCGACGGGCTGTTATGGTAAGAATGAGTTGACAAGCCTGCATGTAAGATCGCCACTTTACGTGGAGTAGATTAGCAACATCCTGAAATTGAATTGGGCACATAGTCATCCTGTATTAGCGTATGTCGGTTAAGAGAGAAATTACATTTCTATATACAAAGACTGTGAGAATTATAGTAAAGGGAGTTAAGTAAGGGCTCGAACTCCGAGCCAACGTGAGAGGGAATGAGTGTGATTGCATCGTGGCAGAATGTCCGATCAAACGATATGTAACATATCCAAGCCTTAGGTATCAAGTTCTTATTGTTTAGGTGCAAACGCCTTCCTCTCTGTTTCTACAAATACTCAGATTCACAAACCAACCAATAGTTTTTTTGCGAAAAGAGAAATTGGCACACAATCTGGGATAATCTGACCACAAAGTCCAATGGCTTAATTGATTTCATTTAAAGTAGAGAAATAAAGTTATTAAATGCGATGATGAAGTAATTATAAATCGGAGACTAGGTGCACCTATTTAAAGGTAGTGCAGAAAGCAAAGCAAATTCAGACATGCAGACACGCACAAGGCTGTTATCTTGATGAGTGAAATACATTAGCAGGAGACTTTAGGAAGCGAAAGAACCAATGGTACTAGTAGATACAGGGAATAGGCACCGCGCGTATAAGTAAATAGGCCAACCTGAAAATGTCTGGTGAGTGATTTGAGAAACGTCTAGACGATAAACAAACAAGGTACCCAAATATCAGACTCAGGGCATTCCAGAAAATGGAGATCAGATACTTCATCAACTCATCACAGTTGGCGCGGGAAATAAGGACAATAAAGACTCGGCTGACAACGATGAAGGTTCGCTCGCGAGTTACGACAAGAAAAAGAGTGACAGTGGAGAACAAATGAATGGTACACTAACTACTCTGTTATTATGTGAAGGCAGAGAATACGTCACATGCCAATTTGATAAGACATGTTCAGTTCCCCAAATAAGGCTGATTTCCTCCATTGTGAAATGAAATGTGGAAATATGCGGCCACGAAGATAGAAGTCCGTGAAAACCTTCAGTTGAGACACAAAAAAGCAGACCAGAGTAAAATTTGCCACATATGTCGTATCAAATTGAAGTGTTATGGACACACATACATAGACTACAGTTCAAGAGAGGAAGTCAAATTTCACATTTATCCTCTAATTTAAGCCATGATTTGAACAAATTGATTTATTTAAGCTAATCCTACAAAATGATGACATTTTGAGTAATTGAGAAAACAAAGGACCATCCAAAGACAATAGTAATTACGCAAGGTCATAAGTTGACGTTAATCGGATGCTCAAGACTTCCTCAGGGCGTCAAAACAGTTACATGGCAAGTACGCATACGAGGCGATAAACGTGACCGGTAGAAGGCCCCCGCACAAGAGTTTGCACATTTGCAATGCGCGCACACTTCAGTCATCCCCCCACGTACCAACGTCCCATCGCTTTACTATACACACACGAACAAACTCAATCAACTGGAAAGATTAAAAAGTATCGGGGCAAGTAGTAAGTCACGAGCACTAATAGACTGGCGCAGAAATCGAGTTTGTAGCAATATTATAGGAAGCTTGGAAGCTATTTCAAAGTGAAGGATATCAAAGGATAAAGTTGGTTCCTCACTTTTCAATATTGAGAACAGATAGTGTTTCAAAATAGAAAATATAGAGGGAACCAAATGTTATACAATTTGAAGGAACGTTGTGACTTATTCAGGAATTGCGTATTATGAACAAAACAAGTAGACCACCACTGTAAATTATTAATATATACGAAATTTAAATACACTCAGATCCAAACACCATAATACGGAAAATTGTATTTCAAAATTATGCCAAAATTCGTTCAAATAGGAAGCTGTTACTTATACCGATTACTGGAAAGGAATACGAACTAGATAACTGATAGAAGGCAATATCGAATACCTTCGAAACTCTGAAGAGAATTTGGTAATCAGCCCAGAGGAGGGGGGGGGGTTATCACAGTACTACTCTTCAAATGCTGCCTCTACCTTCGGAGTTTGTTTGAGTAGCATTAGCCACACACACATACACCTAACAATACTGTACCGGTCGACTAACGTAATGGTGTGAAGTTATTGGGACAAAAATCAAAGTAAATACTGTGCCAAGGAGCTGTTTTTATCGCCAAGCACAAGCTTAAACAAACAAACAAAGCAACAAACAACAACAATAAAGTGTAACGGTCATGGGTAGTTGCCCAAAGGTGCACCTAGTGATCAGGTTTAAGCATGAGGCAAAGAGAATGAAAACACACGCTGTTTTTGTGTGAGCATTGTATAATCGCAAATTCATGTGTAGTTTATGCAATAATAATAATGATAATAACCAAATAAAAAATGCTTAGGGATTAGGCAACTTCAAAGCAGAAGGAATTTGAAACAGGCGGCGTCACACAAGCCTATAAAGCTTGCGTTGCCAGAAGAATTCAAATGTACCTGACCTGAAAAGCCCTACAAAAGAAGGGCCTATGATGCCAAAAAGTAAAGATATCAATCGAATTAAATACATGAAAAAATAAAGTGGTTCTTCCTAAGCTGCTTAACATTCCCTGACCGAATTTCAACGACTACCTAGAATCGAAAAGGTTCACAGAAGGCGACTTTCTAAACCAGAGACACAAAAATATTTCCGATTTGCGAAAGAAAGTAGGCAATCCTCAGCATTAACGTTGATGCAAATTGAAAAGTACTTCGATCACTACAATAAGCGATTTAATCAAGTGGAATTTGAACGAAGGCATAAAAATCTTACAAGTAAATAAATTGCAGTAAGAGAACGATGGCTGAAAAGTAGACAATCTTTGAAAAGAACTAGAATTTGCGAAAGACCACAACAGGACTTCACCACGAGGCCTTAAGCTCCGTGCCACCTCTAAATTTGGATTGAAAAGGAGAATTCACAACAGCTTCTGCTCAAAGGTAACTCACCGATCTAATGGCAATTTCGCCATGACGGCGAAGAGCAGATCCGGCGGATTTGTGACCGCTCATTCCACCGAGAGCACCGTCACGAACAGTCTGACTTCCGCCTTGTTTGGCACGAACTGTGTACCGATGGAAGGTCTTGTGCACAACGACTCGATCTCTGAAGATATTGAGATGGAAATCATTAAGGACGCCTAATTGCTTATTGTGATATCAAAAATAATAAGCTGTTAATCGAAAGTTTGAGGCAATAAGGCGTATACTGAACACGGGGCAGGTAAAAAGGACAATAAATATGTACTGGCTTAATTCACTACTCAATCGATTTAATAAATTTCAAGCCAATCACAAACGATTGTTTGAAGACAAAGGGAATGTTTACCACCGACTCTGAAAGTAAGGCATACTGATTCAATAGAAGCGAACCTATTTTACGTTGAGGCCCTAAATGCCTCCGCAGTTATTAAAAAAGGGACCAATAAAGACTGTCATTTAACAAAGCTTAATAAATCTGTTATCATGACGATCGTAACTAAGGCAAATAGGTCTAAAATAATCGTGTGAATAGTTTCAATGATCAACTAGAAATTTGCTTCTCGATGTTTATTTTGGAAGAAAGAGAGAAATTTTCATTCCAATAGACTGCGCTGGGAATTCTGTTCTCGGGATATGCACCAATAGAATTCGAACTTATGACCTTTGTACCAGTAGCACACAAAAAAGATTAAATGCATGGAGAACGAATGTCAGTAAGAGTAAAATGAAATGCAAATTTTCAACTTTGGAATAAAAATTTTAAGTTCGATTACGAAAAATACAAATAAGGAGATAACTTGGACACTAAAATATAGAGTTACATTTAGACAAGCATTCCCAATTTTAATACCCAATTAAAGAGGATTAAGTTCAACTCAATTAAAAAGGCATGAAAAATATATGGGCAACATGGACATCCTGGAACGTAAAAAATCACAAATAAATTACGCACTCATCGAATATTGCACCAGCAAATTTGCCACCTGAGTACAGAAGGAAAGCCCAAAATCGACTATTGCGAAGAAGATCGATTCTTTTCAAAACATCATCAAAATACTTCACAGGGGCCTACAAAACATTTGAATAATTAGCTTAATAATACCTCCCGTGAACGAATAAGACATCTGTGTATTCCGATTATTTCCTGCCTTCGGTTTCGAAACATTGCTAATGATCCGACAACACTCTTTTTCACACTACCAGGCATTTTTAATTCACAGGAATTTTTATCTTGTTTCTCCTCGTTTTCACTCTCTGAAGATTCTGATGAAGAATCGCTATCGGTTTCATTCCATGTTTCATACAGCCAACCGCCACTTTCGGGACGGCGCACATTCTTGCTAACTAAAGCAGCGTGTTCATCGGATTTAAAGTGAGCTTTCTAAACAGGAAAACAATAAATAAAAGGGAAAAATCTATTACTTGTTCTTCGTTATTATCAAAGGTAAGTTTGCAACAAATACACGTAAAAGTTTTCATCGAGGTAGCATACGCAACTTTAGGATTTTCAGGATTTGGAATTACAGGAGCAGGCTCGGTTGGAAGGGTGCTACAGGCAGACATAATGCCGGTTAGATATTCGACGGAGCATTTCCGATTGAAATAAGAAATTTTGTCACAAGTGCAACCATTATCACGAGGTAAAAGACCATTCATTTTAGCCTAAAGCAATCAAAACGTAATTGGTTCACAGCAGAAAATCAAAATGTTGTAAAGTTTTCAACATACTAAAACTATAAATTAAAGTAAAAGGTCAAGGTCTATGCACTTCGACGTATGCCATAATTTTTAGATTTAGTTTTTTTTAAAAATGAATAATTTTTCGTTACAATCTGGGCCTCAAATTATCACACCTATTTAGAATTAATTTAAAAGTGCTGTTCTACATCCATCATGCGCAGCATACTGCGTGGAATTAAGACATGATACGCTTAAAGTAAATTATTGTCGTGATGCACACTATATTAACTAAGGTAACTGCGTAATTCTTTAGGGTGTTTGCTATGGTTACTTATTTGGCTACCATTTTTAATTCCAGTTTAGTTATTGTCATTTGGAAAAATAATATTTTAGAATAGACAGTCAGTTATGTCTCAACATTTTCGTGGTGCATAAATTAGAAACAGATTAACTTGTCTATCAGACTTTTCATCACATTTCACAATGTATAACATAACTACAGAAAGCAACAATTAATTAATGTCAGCCACTTCCTCTTACTCAGACAATAAACAGATCTGTCCCAAATCACAAATGCTTGATATCTCACGATTCAGCTTTTGTATTACTAAATTGAATTTGTGTATATATTAGCCATATACATTCACATTCAATTCGAGGTAGGCATTCTAAAGTTCAATGCGGTCCAAATTTTATTAATTAGGACATTTTATAGCTGAGTTTATAATGTTAATTTATTTATAACAAATGGAAAGCGTTTTGAGTTATCATTAGCCCTTTAGCTGACTTCAGGCTTCATAGAGGGGAGGAGAAACATCAAAGTGAGAAGAATTCGGGGGGGGGGGGACAGAAGAGTGATTCACAGATGTTAAAAAAACAGACACAAAGGCTCAGAAAGGGTAAGATGAGTACTGTGGTAGGGGTCGAATATGACATACAGTGGGGTCATGGTAGTTTGAAGTCGGAAGTCAACTGCCGAATAATAGACTTTTATGCCGTATGAGTATATGTTGCCCAGGTTGTACCACGTGGAGGTAAGTCTGTCGCACACCCCGGATTTATAATGTATTAAGTACTTAAGTAAGTTAGTTTATTCAATAATCTAAGTGTTTTTTATTTATTAATGTCAGGTAATAGCGTTGATGCTATTATAATTCAGTTAAGGCAGCTGTTTCTCAATTTTCCAACAGATAGCAAATTACCTAGATAGTAATTCCGTTAAGATTCCATCCATTCATTTCCCCTTATCCACATCTTTCATTTATATTATTAATGTTTACTTAAGAATTCTTGAGGTTTGATGTATTAATAATGTAATGGTTGTTTAGTGAATGCAAATTGCCATGCTGCTTTCCGACAAATATGTCCTAAAAATGGTCTTTGTTGTACTCCAAAGCGGACAGAAATGAGTAGTTAGTTGAAGTTTAGTTGGGATTTTTAATCTCTTGGTGATACTTATTTTAGTGTCTCAGATTGGCATTGGATAGATTTTGGGCACTCACTAAGAGCGCTTTTATTGTCATGCTAATTTTAAAGTTCATTTATTCAAATTAAACTATTAGCATCATAAATAGCCGTTTTTCTCTGTGGTTTTTTACTGTTGATAGTAATTATTTCAAATTAACCGAAGGAATATGAAAATATTCTCACTTACATCCCCAAACCAATTATTTCGAATGATGGTGTTACTAACTCATTTTATAAAACTTTATAACTACAAAATAACTAGACTATCAAGATCCTTGTTTGATTTTGATTAACCATTAAAAGTCAATGTGGAAAAAGATCAAAAAATTAATTAGTGAAAATTGAATACTTGGAACATCAAACGATCTCAACTTCTCTTTAAAATATCAGTTGCGAATCTATAGTCACAACGGATACGATAAGGCTATTTAATTACTAATTAAAGCCTTAATGACATTGCGATACATAAACGCACTGGTCTTGTTGCTGCGTCTTAGAAAATTAGGTTTAAATAATTAAGTCATACACTTACAAAAAAACAGATAAGTTAAATGCTCATATCCAAAAGCTCCCTGATATCAAAACAAACTAAATTTTATAAAATCCAAATTTGGACTAATCATTATTTATTTATTTTACAAATACATTAAAATGCATAATTTAAAATCTTTCCGTATTGGGTAAATAAATAAAATGCAGAAGGTGTATTCATTCAGAACTTTTAGTCCATTTGACAGGATGCAGAACTCCCGTAGTAATACCACCTTGGAAATGTGCGGTTGCAACCTACAACGTATAAAATATTGAATTAAGAAATGAAATATTACATTCTATCTCAAATTTGCTAGTGTATATGGAACATTAAAAAGTGGCAGATTAATAACGAAAATAAGTTTCGAATATTTTGTTGAATCAATTTAAGGAGCATGAATACATCAATGAAGATAGAAAATTTTGGCTTACTTTTCGGCTCGGATAAAGAGGAATGATTGTAGAAATCGGTTTTACGTTTGGTAGACTTGTGCTTTGCACTGTTGGTTTTCTTTTCGTCACGCTCATAACTAAAGAGACAATGAGATGAGGGGATAAGATTAGTTGAAGCCAAATTCATACCATGTGAGACCGTTTGCTGGCATTATTTTTTAAGTAGAATATAAATCAACTCATGCACTTCAATCGCCTTTCACGTGCTTTTATACTCCTATTGAAAGTAGCAGCTAGCCAATAATATCCCGGGATATGATTTAATTATTTTCGTGAGTAATTGGATTCAACCATTTTCAGGACACTCTCTCAGTACGTAAATGGTGACAAAAAGAATTGTAATGGAATGTTCTCAAAGTCCTCACCTCGGTTTAATTGTAATCTGCCTGTTAAAAATGAAAAGTAAGCATAAAGTATGAAAGTAAAAAAACTGTTAAGCTGTTCCATGGTGATAAGAAGCAAAAAAAAGCTACGTTTCGAACGGTTGACTGGAATGTAAAATAAAGGAAGGGAATGGAGAAAGTAGGTTTTAATGAGTTAATTTTTAGTGAGAAATTGTGGACATAAACCGAATGCTTTTAGCGCCTACATATAATTTATAAGTTTTAAAAATAAACCTCTTAATGGTCTAAATAGTTGTGAATTTCCGAACAGCAGATTACGATAACCGACACGACTGCTTGATGAATTAGCATTTGAACATCATTATAACTGACCATCAAAATAGCTTATAGTGACAGATGGAATGAGTTCTTTTAATTTGAAAGTTTCATTGAAGGAGGCATCAAAAAGCTACAGAGATCAATGTCTAAGTACCAAAGAGGCCTATCCCAAGCGATTGAGTTGTACAAAACCCACTGACTAAGCTGATATTGTTTGATATCTCAATAGATAACTATTGCCGTAAATATGAACAATAACAGTTTATTTTGTTATTATCACAATGACTAAATAACTTTATACAACTAAAGCTGGGAAACTGATTCAGCGAAGAAGTACATATCTTCAAGCAGATTTTAAGTAACAAATGAATAGGTGAAGAGCTTATCGGCCTTGAAGGCGAGTCGCACACCCAATTGCTGATTAAAAGTTAATTAATGGTACAAAATATCATAGTTGATAAATGAAAGCTTGAGACTCTGTAGTTAACCTTGCAAGCTTAATCAGGCCAACTTTTCCTTCTATTGAATGTGATACTGACCCTAGCATAAGACTTATTTCCTCACAATTATAAGCTGATTATCTCTTATGGCATTATAACTTAAAGATAAGTAATTAGAAGAAAAAGCTGAACTTCTTGGAATCCATTTTTGTTAACACACTCTAGGGTTGGAGTAAATGGCAATTTTCTATTTGCGTCAATGGGAGATTTTACACTCACGTGTTCTGGGGGCGTTTAAGTAATTGAATATTAAATATTCGGGAATGAGCACCTGCAGGCTAGAAGCAGTTGGAATTAAAGGGAATTCGAAAGAACATTTTTTATCAATTGAGATATCAAGAGTGACAATATCGTCCAATTAGGCCGATTTATTGACTTTATTCTGCCTTCTGATAATTTGTTAAATAAGGGCTTAAATCCCTCATTTGTGAAAGATAAGTACAGAGGATATTGTACTAATATTCATAGTGTTTTGAACATTTCAAACCAAATTGGTTGATCTGAATTCTTTAGTATCAAAATCTATACATTCCAATTCCAACTTTAATAGCTTCTCCATCAAACAACTGCATACCTTCTTTTCAACCTCACATCTTTGCAATAAAAGTCTTCTGCTCTACAATAAAATGAATAATTGCCAATCTCTTCAACCTATCTGCGAATTTTTGTAGATTTGATTAAATAGAAGTGCCATCTGCAGTGATTGAAGTAAATCGACAGGACATATTTCCTACTTCCTTCTTTTCAGATTTATTCTTTTGGTTAACGCTTGTAACTTCTTTCAATGTAGTATGCAAAGATGAACTCTAACTCATATATTTGTCTGACGAAATTTAGCTGATCAGGACTTTTAAAAATGCGTTTCAATGAGAATCAAATCTGAAGAAACTGATTTATGAAAACCAATATTTTGACTATGTTACAAAGGAAGTACGATGATTCACTTGTCTTTTCAATTCATTTTCCGCTCCTAGATCGACTTATTGTTTTTTAAGTAAGTTAAATAAGGAAGTTACTTTTTATGTAAGATAAAACAAATGAAAAACTGCGCTTTTTAGTAATGGAAAAGCAGTTGAACTTGATCCCGCTAAGAGCCGAAGATGGCAAGAAAAGCGAGGAAATTGAATTAAGAGGCGCTATTTTGCACCGTATTTAACATTCATTGAGCCCGACATTTGAAAAATCAGACTTCAGTATTTGATTCACCAATGCCTGAGTATTAGGTCACGAAAGTAGTGTCAAAATCGATCTATCAAGTGCTCGATTATGTCCAAGTTACATAATCACACACGCGTCAATGAAACCCTTAATTAACCTTCTATCATGGGGTGTGTGATAGACTTACCTCCACGTGGTGCACCCTGGGCAACGTATACTCATATGGCAAAAAAGTCTATCAATGGGCAGTTGACTTCCGACTTTAAAATACCATCACCTCACTGTATGTCATATTCGGCTATTTCCACAGCACTCATCTCACCTTTTTCACTCTACCTTCGTGTCTGCCTTTTTTACATCTTTGAAATACTCTTCTGATACCCCCCTCCCCCACTCGACTTTTTTACTTTGATGTTCCTCTCCCTCTGTGAAGCCTGAAGTCAACTAAAGGGCTAATGATGACTATTAAAATGCCTGCCATTTGATATGGATGACCTTCTATCACAAGTTCTGTCACGACAAAAGTACTTCTGTTAAATCACAGGTCACTTCTCGGTCCTGGCTCCCAACTAGTGTTTTGTTAGCAGACTAACAACAAAATCAGGTCAAATTAAAACCTGCTTAACTCAATCTACACTCCCATTTCAATTCATACTGTACTAATGACCCTCTATTGCTATGTTCAAAGCCAACGCTACACCTATCATTGGCAATTCGACCCCCCTCCCCCTTTTCAAATATGTTAGTGATCTCACTCCAATCTGGGTCTTCTCATTTCAGGAAGACGACTTTTTCTAATAATCTTTTAGGAAGGTCATTGTCTTCATAAAATAGCATCTTTTAAATTAGCTCAAGGTCGTCCGTTAACTGCTTTTCAGACTTTATTATGAGAAATGGCTATATAAGGAAATTGTTCCATATCACGAAAAATTTATTATGTGAAATTAAATTAACTGCGTCATTTGTTGACACGTGATATCAAATAAAACTTATTACATTAACGTCATTGCTCCTGGTTACAATGAAGGCCCTACGAAGGGGAGTTGAAAGGAGAATCACGTGGTTAGTCGATAAAGGAACTTAGTTAATATTTAACGAATCACTCCATTGATTTTACCAACAAGTATTTATGTTGTCTTTATTTCATATGAGGGTGAATGTTATAAATCGACGCCATCTTATAGCCCATCATTAATCAACATGGCTACCAAACCCCCTTTAAATTTTGACTTTCACCGTCTTAGCGGCATGGGTTTCTCTGAGAGAGAGAGAGAGAGAGAGAGAGAGAGAGAGAGAAAGACGACTTTCTCCTTCCTTCTAACTGCTCTAAGCGACTGGAGGACTGTCAATCGTTAAAAGCTGAGTGTAAATTTAGGCCTTGCCACCACCCACCACCCCCCCAGCCCCCACTCCCACCCCCCTCATACTTCAGCTCTTATCCCAAACTTCCACATTCCAACCAATTTAGTCAGGTTCTCTACCTAACAGGTCTACACCTACAGTAGTCCTATCCTGCTATTCGTACTAGACGGAGGATAATTTAGCCTTCGTTATTTGCTACCACGTGCAATCAAATGACGCAGGTTAATTAATTTAAAAAAAAAAGAAATTTATTACCACAGTGCATAAAATATAACCTTGTGTGATTAAGAACTAATTCGAATTATAATTAGTGTCCTTGAATTTTTATGTTTCATGTTGTTTCTTGTTGTTCCATCCACTTGTTTATTTTAAAATAAACTATAAATGATCTTTACTTCTCACGTGTTAGGAAAAATTTTCAATTAAATACTGGTGACCTTGAGGATTTTCATTTATTTCAGAAGTAGAGGAATTGAAATTTGGAGTTAGTATAATGGTCAAAAATAAGATTAAAAAACTTTGCCATACTTGTAAAAATTTGGTCACGTGAATGTTGAAACAAATGGCGCTAATCTATTTCATAAATTTTTCTTCACTAGTGCACCATAGTGGCTCAATTAGTCTGCCTTTTTAATTATCAATTTCCATCTAAGTCAATTTTCATAAAAGCACGCGGGGGATTGCTGCACTAATAATCCTTGTCTTGTGCTCTGTAATTTCTATTGCATGATCTCTTCATTCAGAACGGTTCTCAGGATTATCCATGCTTCCGCAAAGTTATGGAGAAAACAGATACTTGGGTTGAGGGTGTGTTTACATAAATACTGTTTGGGTACGATTGCACTGTAATGACTATTGGTCATTGATTAGCGGAGTGGTCACTGGAATCGAGACCTAATTTGCTTCCAACAGTGCACCACGCTCAAAATATTCTAAAATGTTTGAGCACGCAAGCGTTTCTCCCCTTCAGACATGCTGGCATTGGGCTCCCCACAATCCCTTTGAAATCTGCACCTCATGCAACTTTACTTAAGTATACTATAATGCCTATTTTGGTAAAAGACTTATTGAGCCGCACCAAGATTGAAAAGGGTTGCTTTACGCATTCTTTGGTTAACGTTAACCATATGACAGGTCCATTCGAAGATGGATTTTTAATACTTTCCCTTTATTCAGGCGCATTATTTATTATTTATTTATATAAAATGGCAGGCGTCTTGATGGTTATCATTAGCCCTTAAGTTGACTTCAGGCTTCACAGAGGGGAAGGAACACCAAATTGAAAAAAGTCGAGAGGGGGGGGGAACAGAAGAGTGTCTCAAAGACGTAAAAGGGACAGACAAAAAGGTAGAACAAAGGTGAGATGAGTACTGTGAAATAGTCGAATATGGCATAGAGTGAGGTGATGATAGTTTAAAGTGAGAAGTCAACTGTTAGTT